ATAAAGGATTAATATCCAGAATGCATATAAGGATTTTTCCAGTGAGTATGAAAAAGATAGAGTCTAATAGAAATGGTCAAAAGATACAATATTTGATTCATAAAACTATAAATAATTTTAAGCATATAGAAGAATAAACTATCTTAGTTTTTGCCCGTCATAGTGGGCCCTGCTCAATAAAAGACGGATAGTATTTTGTGTGGGTAAAGATGCAAAGAAACAAGCATTGTCACACACTGCTGGAAATTTGTAAAGTAAGTCTTTATGGAGACAATTTGGCAAAATCTCATAAAATTTAAAATGCATATATCCTTTCACTCTCCAAGTTTTCTGCAAATCCATCCTGTAGAAAGACTTCCATATTTGTATAAAGATGTATCTTCAATGATGTTCACTGATACTGCTTTAAAATAGTAAAAAAAACTGGATAGAGTCTATCTACGGGGGAATAGTCAAATAAATCAGAGTATTACTGAATAATACACAGCCACCAAAAAGAATGAAGTACACACCCATATGTACTAAAGTGGATATATGATCAAGACATACTGTTAAAGGCACAAAGCATCACGGAATACTTCAAATTTATTTCTACTATGTAAATGCATAGAAAGAAGATTGAAAACAAACCCACAAAACTGTTAACAGTGGATACCTTGGTAAAAGGGAGTGGCAGTGCCGTTAAAGTGAAAGCAGATTTTCATATTTTGTAGATAGTTTTCAATGTAGTTTGAATCTTTTCCAGTGAGACTACAGCCATATATTATTCATGGAATATATTTGTATAATAAAAATATTTAGGTGTCATAATGATTTGTTTTGAGAATTAAGTCCTTCACAGAATAACAATTACACACATACAGTATAAACTTGACATAACATTATTAGAATTCAAATTACTATTCTGTTCCCATTTAAGGAATACCAGTTTTTAAAAGTATATAAGAATTCATACCACTGTAATATACTCAAATTCAACGACATATTCTGGCAAAACAAGCTCATGATCAAAGACAAACCACTTGCACTGCCGAACGCTGCAATCACAGTTTCTTTGTCCTATGATAGAATCTAGAGTAAAAAACAAAAACAAGCAAAACAAATATTCTTTAAAATGAAACATAATATACTTTTTCATTCTCACATAGATAATAAATAACAACCTCAGTAAGTTCTAACAATTATATTATTGAGGGTTTTTTTCTTTTATCTCCCTGTCCCCTTTAGTTCCTCCCCAAGCATCTTAATTCTATAAATACTAGTCATCCTTTTACTACATAGACTAGTAGGTTTAATTTTATTCATATCTTTTTCCTTTTCATACTTTTTCACATTTCTATTCAATGTGTGATCATGTGTCTTTGACAAATGTATTAATATTACTTTAAAAGCCTTGTTAAAAGTTCAGTGGCTTTTTAATCCTTTGAAAACTTGTTTATAAACATACACACACATAAAAATATATAATTGAATGTAAACCTTCCAAATAAACTATATGCACATCCACATACATACACACACATAAATGTTACTGAGGTAGAGAACAAGAGAATTATTAGTGGCCAGGAATAAATTTTTGTAGAAAAGTCTATAAAGTTTGTTAGGTAGAGGTTAAACTGTAAGCATCTGTACTAAACACAAACAGTTTGCTTTCAGAGAGATGAAATCACATTTCTTTTTATGGCAGACATACTTAGTAAATATTTCTGAGGAATGAACACTGAATTAACCATTGGATAGTTGGCTTGATTGATGGATTCTTGCTCATGAGCCTGAACACTCTGGCCAAGGAAAACCTTTGTAATGAGGAGGATGCCTAAATACAAAAAAAAAGAAAAGAAATAATTTTTAACAATAATTTACTTTAATAATTTTCCAATGTAACCTTTTTTATTGGCCCCAGACTTGACTGTGTGTTCTATAAAGGCAGAGATCCTGGCTATTTTGGTTGTTACTGTATAGCACATAGTACACAGCACACTGCCTGATTCAAGATAGAAGATCAGCAAATATTATTTGTTCAATAAAGGAAATGGTTGTAAAAGGAGTCTCATGATTATATCAGGCAAAGCTTTACAGAAAAGGAAAAAGGAAAGAACACAATAATTTGGCATGGTTTTTTATTAAGTAGTTAAATGTAAGAAAAGTTTTTTGTTGTTAACTGGGTAAAAATTCATCTCTGTATCACCTAGCACATGGTAGAAGGCACTCAATATATGTCTACTGAATGGACGGACATTTCTTTTTCCTTTAGATTCTTAGGGATCCTTGAGATTTACTAAATTCTGAAAGATCCCTAGGAGCCAATGAATCTGAAGAAGTAATTTCTAATCACAAAGCATAAAACATTCAAATGATTTTTGGTTTATTTTTACTTTGTACAAGATATAAAATATAAGTTGAGAGAAACTAATTGTTTTGGAAAACATTCCAGAAGGATCTAACAGAACATCATGAGGTATTTGTTAAGATGAGAATGGAGAAGAATGATAAAGAATAAGCAAAGGGTTTTTTCAAGTAAGGAGCTCTTTCTAGATTCAATAATCTGCTTAATTTTCTGGTTATCATTAATTGAATGAAAGACTTAAAACACATATAGTTTAGTTCAGCATGAATCATCCTAGCAGAGTTATAGTCTGGGACCTAGAATGTCATTCTTATAGAATTATGTTAACCAAATTTCTGACTATTTGCTTCAGTAGGTTGGATGGTTGAGACCAAAGAATAGATGTCCCTTACTCCCTGACCTGATCTGTTCTCCGTATTATACATGCTTTGGTACTGTGTGTTAATACTTCATGTTTATAGTTCTTATGATAATTGTAATTTTACATTTATTTATGTGATTATTAATATTTTTAAGCATCATAAAGGAGAAACTGTCTACTTTAGATAGATGTATCCCTATCATTTACCGATGCCTAACACAAAATAAGCATTCAATAAATACTTATAGAACAATGGAAAAGGGTGAGGCAAGGGGACGTGATGAGTTGCTCTTTTTCTCCAATCTGTGGGTACCAGGGAATCTCTCCCAGAAGTGTCCTATAAATTGGTTCATGTACTTATATTTATATATATTCAAGGTGCAAATAAAGGACTGGTAATTACGAATAAATTAAAATACCGAGAACGTATCTTCTATAAGACAACTTATAAAGCAATCCATACATTTCACAATTTGTCTTTAGCAGATTTTAAATTATAACCAGGTTTTCTTATCATCTTACACTATGATGATTCAGGATAAATAACGTGTACTTTATAGAGTGCCATATGATTATTGCATATATGGGTCAAATTCTCTTTTTTCTTTCCTGTAAATTTGGTGTGTGTAACATGTATATATATGTATATGTTGAGTTTATTTTTATGACACAACATAATGAACAAAAGTAGACTGTGAAAAGTGTATAAAAGTTAGATTTAATATCTGATTAACAAATTAGTCTCTTCCTATTAATGCTGACATAATAATCATTCAGTTTGTTGACAGTGTAGCTAAATTAATGGTGAGAAAATCATGCATTATTATGTTGGTAAATATGAAGTAAAATGGTTTGAAAAACATCTCTTGGGTTGAAAAACCAAGTATCAAAAATAATATGAAAATAATTAATGAATTTGAAGACTTAAAGTTCAAAACACTATATATTTGTATTACCATGTCTGAAGAGCTCATGCTCAAGAGAATTTTTCTTCTCATCCTTGTACTTTTGCTGTAGAAATTCAATTCTGGGACACTCACACATACTTAGGCTGTTAGCAAGAATAACAGCTTCTTTTCTGAGAGGCAGCTGCAAAGAAAAAACAAAGTCTGGGTATTTTTACAAAATTGACAGTATTTCAACTTCAATACAGATTGTTTATTATTTTATGTTTATATGTCTGGGCAAAAAAATCTGCAGGCCAGACTCACTGAAAAGAAGTAGATAACTTCCAGGTGCAACTTCATTCTGCAAAACCATTTATATATTTTAAATTCAAATGCAAATAGGTTTGTAAAAAATGATACAGAACAAAATTTGTTTTTGGAAAAGCAGCCAAAGTCAAGACTGACAACACTGCATGATGCAGGAGCAACAGCTGTCAATGAGTATTCCACTAGTAATCTTGCTAACTTCAAAAAGACAATTCTGTGGGAATGAGATACTACATCAAGGAAGATTTTTATTTATATCATTTTTTAATTTAATAATCTACAGTATTTTCCAGAAACAAAACATTTCTTATTGTGGTAATGCATGGAAATCTTAGTTTGCATTGTGACTAGCTTTATTTCTTGAAAGTGTTATATCAGTAATATTCATATTACTTTCTGTGAAAGCAGCTCTAAAAAAATCAAAGAAAAATAACTATTTTTAGTAGTAAGAAAACTAGATCTAAGAGAGAATATATGATCTGTCCAAGGACAGAATTGGCAAAGTCATAATTTGAACTAAGGTCTACTTGTCTTTGTCACAATCTCAGAGTTTTGAAATTACCACTAGTTTAATATTAATAGCCAAATTATTTAGAATTATATCTTTTCTGTAAATGCTAA